TTAACATGCCTTATTTGACAGTAGCCTGGGTCTCAGTGTTTCTATGGTATATTCAACATACCTTATTTGACAGTAGCCTGGGTCTCAGTGTTTCTATCGTATATTCAACATACCTTATTTGACAGTAGCCTGGGTCTCAGTGTTTCTATCGTATATTCAACATACCTTATTTGATAATAGCATGGATCTCAGTGTTTCAACTGTCTTGTCTTCAACATAATTTAGATAAAGAATTGAACTGTCTTGTCTTCAACATAATTTAGATAAAGAATTGAACTGTCTTGTTTACAACATAATTTAGATAAAGAATTGAACTGTCTTGTTTACAACACAATTTAGATAGAGAATTGAACTGTATTGTTTACAACACAATTTAGATAAAGAATTGAACTGTCTTGTTTACAACATAATTTATATAAATAATTGAACTGTTTTGTTTACAACATAACTTAGATAAAGAATTGAACTGTCTTGTTTACAACACAATTTATATAAAGAATTGAACTGTTTTGTTTACGACATAATTTTATGTCGTCTGTTAATTTACTTTAGTTACTTTTATTTTCTAGAGTCATGCTACACCCAAACAAATGTTATCTTGTTGACTCCTGTAGACTCCAAAACAGATTGTATGCTATCACAGTCATCGGAATTTTCTTTCTCTTTTCCTTTGAATTACTGGGTTGGATCCCTGTTATGCCTTTTGGAACCTTTCGTTGGAACAGAACTAAAAGCTACAACAGAAATGCTTCCCCGAGACCAACTGGATCCGACTTCTCCCCAGGGTCGTCTTCCACCGTGTACGACTTCCCCTTTATGCTCAGGCCTGAGCAGACGTGTTCCTCACGAAACACGTCATTTGTGGTTGCAGTCACATCGACGCCCTTGAACTTCGCGAGAAGGCGAGCGATCAGGGAAACTTGGGGAAACCGACAACAACAACGAAGTTTTAACGTTGCAGTAATGTTTCTTCTTGGTACAGGACTCGACTGTAATGTTCAAGATCAGCTTGTTTCTGAGAACCAGATACACGAAGACTTACTACAAGGTGATTTCATTGATTCTTATTCTAATCTAACTTTGAAGTCGGTTATGGCGTTGAGATGGGCCAACAATTTTTGTCCTGGAGTAAAATACTTTATGAAGACCGACGACGATATTTTTGTAAATCTGCCTAATCTCGTGAGCTACCTTACTCACAAACTAGAACCTACTCACTCTTGGATAGTGGGCTGTATAAAAAATCACGTTGGACAGCCCGTCATGATAAAAGCAGCAAAAGCTGTTTACGATTTCCATCCTTCGCTTCCCTCCCCGCACCCACCGTTCGTAGCGGGAGCAGGTTACGTAATTTCCGGTAAGGCCATTGGTGACCTGTACAGTACTGCGGTAAGAACGAGGTACTTATCTGTAGAAGACGCTTTTATTACTGGACATTGTGCTCGAAAAATTGGATTATTTCCCGAACATGACGACCGATTTAGTTGCGGTGAAGCCGTAACGAGCGTTTGTAAAATGATTAACAAATTCACAGGGCACAAAGTTACACCATCCAAACAAAAAGATATTTGGAAGAAATTAAAAGATTTAAGCTGTGAATATAATTAAAACTGGAACTCTGAAGTAGAATAGTATAAGTTACTAGTTCTGATATAAAAGTGGAAGTACTCTTAATGATATTTGTAACTAGACTGTGTATAGTTTCTTACAATACTTACGTTACAGCTTTTATCACAACAATGTGTATAATTTCTTACAATACTTACGTTACAGTTTTCATCACAACAATGTGTATAATTTCTTACAATACTTACGTTACAGTTTTTATAACAACAATGTCTAAAGTTTTTACAATACTTACGTTACAGTTTTTATCACAACAATGTGTATAATTTCTTACAATACTTTCGTTACAGTTTTTATAACAACAATGTGTAAAGTTTTTTACAATACTTTTGTTACAGTTTTTATCACAACAATGTGTAAAGTTTTTTACAATACTTTCGTTACAGTTTTTTTACAATACTTTTTATAGCTTTTATCACAACAATGTGTATAATTTCTGACAATACTTTCGTTACAGCTTTTATCACAACAATATGTATAATTTCTGACAATACTTTCGTTACAGTTTTATCACAACAATGTGTATAATTTCTGACAATACTTTCGTTACAGCTTTTATCACAACAATGTGTATAATTTCTGACAATACTTTCGTTACAGCTTTTATCACAACAATATGTATAATTTCTGACAATACTTACGTTTTAGTTTTCATCACAACAATGTGCATAGTTTCTAACAATACTTTCGTTACAGTTTTTATCGCAATAGCGTGTATACTTTCTAACAATACTTTCGTTACAGTTTTTATCACAACAATGTGTAAAGTTTCTTTCAATACTTTCGTTTCAGTTTTTATGACAACAGTGTGTATAATTTCTAATAACACTTAATGACGACCCGAACCACTAACACCTACTGTTTTAATAACTGGGTTAAAGAGTTAACTCGCTAGGTAGACACTTTTTAACACATTACTGTAGTCACATCGTAATCTTTTTTTTTTAATTACAGGTTTGTAGTCGATGGTATTAACGGAATTTTGAAAAGCCATACATTTTTTTGGTAAACTTTCCTCATTAAAACCAATCGGGCTAATATCACAAAGTGTCGTCATAGGCCACAGTGAGTAAATCTCACTCATGGACGATATTTACTTGAGAAATAACTCAAAGTGAAACCTTTGTTTCCAAATTATTTGAGGCCGGGCGTGGCTTAAAGCTTAGATTGCTGAAAAATACCGTTACTTACTTGTGGCCATGGAGGTGTTATTAGAGGTACTGTTAAATCCCACTTTTCGATTAGGTTAGCTCAAGAGTTGGTAGCGGATGCTATTTACTAACCGTCTTTCTTCTAGCCTCTTACTTCAAAATGGGGACAACTGACACCAATAGCATTTTGTGTAGCTTTGTTCTAAACAAATAAGATAGTTTGTTGCTTAGTGACGACAGACCAGATCTGCTGCCTGGTAGTGTAAATAAGATAGTTTGTTGCTTAGTGACGACAGACCAGATCTGCTGCCTGGCAGTGTGTTATGCTAGATTATCGAGGTGCATATAGAATTGGATCACTTAACTGATACGTCTGTGTTTCATGAACAAAGTTTTCCTTTGTCTTTTATATACTCAGTAACTGACTGTGTCCGAATTTGAAATTGTTTTATCTACTTTATATACTTAAGGAAAGAACTTTTTACCTCTATTGTAATCTCGATCATTTGAAGAAAAAAAAACTCAGTTTTTCCATTCTCGTAAACTCTCCAGATAAGGAAAATAACGATTCACAAGATTATATAGAAATTCTTTAAGCCTGATGTCAGAAGTAACAATACAACAATAAGTTTATTGTTTGTATCACAGAATAATAGGCCGGGAAAATTAAATTTATTTTCAAACCCAATCCATCACCTGATATTGGAACTGTTGTTATAAATAAAGCAACTAGAAGAAACAATATTTTCTTCACCTCTTTCTGGTAAACGAATCAATCTTTTGTAAACGTCTCATATAATCGACTGTAGGGTTTCCTCCTTTTGTAATATGGAAAATTGATAACAATGAGATTAAAAAAGCCATAAAATAACGAATGTAATGAAGCATCTTAGTAGCTTTTTTTTGTACAATAAACTACACATAGGGCTATCTTTGTTGTGCCCACCACGGGTATCGAAACCCGTTTTTCAGAGTTATGAGTTTTCAGATTTACCGTTGAACCAAAGGAGCTTAGTAATTACAATTTATGAAATTAGTTTTAGATAGCACGGATAGATGGTAGCACAGTCGTTAAAACAATTCCAGAAGTTATAAGTGTCTATTACACCACCTAAACTGACATTGTAAAACAAGCTAGTGTTTCCATTTTATGTTTCTAGTTATATAAAACTTGCGACAGATGGAAGTCATTATCAGGATTGTTTTTTCAATATTTTAAATACGTCTTTAGAATTATAATTCGTTTTCCTTAACTATCACTACGTTAGAAAATAATGAAACACAATTATAAAGATTATCAATTATTCTGAATATGGAGTTTATCGGTTGTTATAATACTCTCCTGAGCCTAGAAAAATTTTAAATTATTATAAACAATATTTACTAAACAAATTATGTTTTGAACGCCTTTTTGTTTCAGCTGATGAAGCATGATTAAAAGAAATTACATTTCTCATAAGATAATAGTATTAGGCATATTGTGTATATTTGTAAAATACAATAAACCTAATAGTATTCTCTCATGAAAAATATAATTGGGCTATACATCGTTCAAACACAACAAACTGCTTCATTGTGCCAGCACGACAAAATATTTAAATACTGTTCATGCACAACAAAGATTTAAAGTTATTTTTGACACAACAAAACACGTTTTACCAGGAACAAGGGGCAAAAAACAAAGAATTGTGCTCATTTTAAACCATGATGACATAAGTATCGTGGTGGCGTAATTCTCAATCAAATAAAAATAAAACATGTAATCACAAGCAGTGATTTATTCTCCTACACTTGATCCAAGAACAATATCAGATGTTAGTTATTCTCCTACCCTTGATCCAAGAACAATATCAGATGTTAGTTATTCTCCTACCCTTGATCCAAGAACAATATCAGATGTTAGTTATTCTCCTACCCTTGATCTAAGAACAAGATCAGATGCTACTTATTCTCCTACACTTGATCTAAGAACAAGATCAGATGCTACTTGTTCTCCTACCCTTGATCTAAGAACAAGATCAGATGTTACTTATTCTCCTACCCTTGATCTAAGAACAAGATCAGATGTTACTTATTCTCCTACCTTTGATCGGGTAGGAGAATAACTAACATCTGATCTTGTTCTTAGATCAAGTGTAGGGGAATAAGTAACATCTGATCTTGTTCTTATTGATCTAAGATCAAGATCAGATGTACTTATTCCCCTACACTTGATCTAAGAACAAGATCAGATGTTACTTATTCTCCTACCCTTGATCTAAGAACAAGATCAGATATTACTTATTCCCCTATACTTGATCTAAGAACAAGATAAGATGTTACTTGTTCCCCTACCCTTGATCTAAGAACAAGATGAGATGTTACTTATTCCCCTACATTTGTTCTAAGAACAAGATAAGATGTTACTTATTCCCCTACACTTGATCTAAGAACAAGATCAGATGTTACTTATTCCCCTACACTTGATCTAAGTACAAGATCAGATGTTACTTATTCCCCTACACTTGATCTAAGAACAAGATCAGATGCTACTTGTTCTCCTACCCTTGATCTAAGAACAAGATCAGATGTTACTTATTCCCCTACACTTGATCTAAGTACAAGATCAGATGTTACTTATTCCCCTACACTTGATCTAAGAACAAGATCAGATGTTACTTATCCTTATGCACTTGATCTAAGAACAAGATCAGATGCTATTTATTTTCTTACACTTGATCCAAGAACAATATCAGATGCTACTTATTATCCTACACTTGATCTAGAAACAATATCATATGTAAAATTCTCCTATACTTGACCAAGAAACACGAAATAAGAACACGTACTACTACGCTGAGAATTACGTTTCTTGTAAAAATAATTGATGAAAATATTCTTGTATGCGTACGGTTCTTTAAGAAATTCAGAAAGTGCAATAAAATCACATACAATACTTGACATAGAAACATATATTAGTGAGTATAACCCATAATGGGTTCTATAGACAAGTTAAATAATATACATCAATGTGTACAAACTAACGTGTATTCTAGAGACAAGTTAAGTAATATATACCAATGTGTACAAACTAACGTGTATTCTAGAGACAAGTTAAGTAATATATACCAATGTGTACAAACTAACGTGTGTTCTAGAGACAAGTTAAGTAATATATATCAATGTGTATAAACTAACGCGTGTTCTAGAGACAAGTTAGTTAACATAAACCAATGTGCACAAACTAACGTGTGTTCTAGAGAAACGTTAAGTAATATATATATATATATCAATGTGTACAAACTAACGTGTGTTCTAGAGACAAGTTAAGTAATATATATCAATGTGTACAAACTAACGTGTGTTCTAGAGACAAGTTAAGTAATATATATCAATGTGTACAAACTAACGTGTGTTCTAGAGACAAGTTAAGTAATATATATCAATGTGTACAAACTAACGTGTGTTCTAGAGAAAAGTTAAGTAATATATATATATATCAATGTGTACAAACTAACGTGTGTTCTAGAGACAAGTCAAGTAATATACATCAATGTACAGAAACTAACATGAGTTCGAGAATAAAGTTAGGTTACATAAATTAATGTGTACAAACTAACATATGTTCTATATTCAAGTTAAGTGATATATATTTACGTATGGTAGTCCTAAAGATATACGTACTGTAAAAAGGGGAAGTGTACACCAAAATCAGAGTTCAGGTTTTCAAACACTTGATAACTTTTTCGTCTGTTTAGCTTGGATGTTTCAAAAACCTTTCACAACACTATAACAAGGAAGACCGTGTCTTCAAGTACTTATATTGAAGGTCTCATTTCTTTAGACTGTTCAATATGAA